CATGATCCTTTTCTCAGAACCGTACATATAACTAAGATACTGACCCACCTACTTCTTGCTGTTCATCTCTGCTCTCACGACATAGTTACTTAATAGTTTTGGCGTACCTTAAAGGCAGGAGCTGATGAACCTGTCTTATATGGCGGCTACATAGTTTTGATCAGAGAAGCACAACAGTAGGTGTTGTGCTTGAACCACTGTATGAAGACGTGACAATTTGGTGGAGGTGGGTATGACTTCAGGTAATTTGTGTGCTTGTATTGCAGGGATATGGCTTGCAGCGTTGCAGGAATAACTTCCGATGCCAACGTACTAACAAATGAACTGAGGCTGATTGCGCAGAGGTAGGTCTGTTGCTGGTAACGCGGTTTTATTCGCCTGTGCTGTCAGATTCACTTCTGTTTGTGTCTTAAATCATGTGCCTTTCGTAGAGCAAGAACAGATCATTTGAAATAAAATGGCTAGGTCAAAGAGGCGCTAACCTAGAAACTTGCATCTTGTGTGATACAGGATACTGCCAGCAAAACCAGCTTTGAAAACTGTTTTGTCTTTCACGTTAGGTATTTGCTACAATATCAAGAGCCTATTCCTTGTGAGCAGCTGGTGACAGCACTGTGTGATATCAAGCAAGCTTATACCCAGTTTGGAGGTAATGGACTGTGATGAACCGTTGTGCTTTTAAATATCTAAAGAGTGATTCTTTTACGTAAGTTGGAGCATCAGACTCTCTGGACAGTTGTACCAACTTCTAACAAGTTATACCGGGATAAACAATAGCCAGATTTTAAGAGGAGAACAGATAGTCACGGTGACTGTTTTGCTACTGAAGGTGCTACTTTTTAGTGACAGGAATTGAGGGCTGAGATTCTGGCCCACTGTGTAGAATGCTTTGAGTGCTCTTGGATTCAGTGAATGCCTTCAAAAGACCAGCAGAGAACTGTTTGATATGTAATCTTTGAACATTTTGGGCCCATGAAGCATAATGGCAGAATAGATCATGAATGACACTATATGTAGAGGTATCAACACTGTAACACTTTAGAAAATACTATTTCTGTGGATCAAGCAACATGTTAAAAAGGAATGTCTTAAGTAGTGTTCCTGAACTGATGATTGTAGTATTTTACATGTATGTAGCGTGCAAGAATGACCTTTGTATGTACCTGGCTTTTGACACCGTTAAGTTACACACTTTAACAGCTAAGCTGTGTAATTTTTTAAATATTAAGTTTTGATTTAAAGCCCTGAGATGATAAATTATAATTTGTGGAGACAGAAATGAGCTGCCATAAGGGTTAAGTGCAATAAACCTCTGCTGCCTCCCTCTATGACTTACAAAGAGATGCTGGCATGCTTATCTCAAGCAACAGAAGTGCAGAACAGTCTGTTAAATCCTAGTTCACAGGAATAGATTTGAAAAAGGAAATCAAAGAAAATAACTGTCACTCATGACCAATCTTTTTGCTAAATTTAGGTCGCTAATAGCTGCCTCTTTTCGACAGGAAAACGTCCTTTTGGTGTTTCGTTGCTGTATATTGGCTGGGATAAGCATTATGGATTTCAACTGTATCAAAGCGATCCTAGTGGAAATTATGGAGGGTGGAAGGCTACATGCATTGGGAATAATAGTGCTGTAAGTTCTGGGATTTTTTCCTTCCAAAAAATCAAGCAAAAAAATGTGAATTGCACTTGAGTTGTTGATTGATTACTAGTGCAGAGCAGGGATGGATACTTTAGAAACACTAGTTACTCCTGTGTTGGTATCTGGCAAAAAGCAACAGTTTGGTTGATTGCCCAAAGGTGCTGTTTTACTTTCTGTGAAATTTACAGGCAGCTGTGTCAATGCTGAAGCAAGACTACAAAGAAGGAGAAATGACCTTGAAGACTGCGCTTGCATTAGCCATTAAGGTTCTAAACAAAACCATGGACGTCAGCAAGCTCTCTGCGGAGAAAGGTAAGCGGTTCGGTAATACAGGATAACACTCTCTGCTTAAAAAAGCAAATGCAGTGAATGTATATACACTAGATGAGGTTTATTGGATTTTTAGTTGTCCCGTGGCAAATGTTTTTAGAAGATGCAGCAGCCTTAACCTTTCCCTAAGTCTCACAGACAGCTTAGTTGAGACTGGTCCACCCTGGTGAGCTGCAGGGGGGAGGCTGCCGTTGGGGGATCGCAGGCCGCCCTGGTGCGGCAGCAGAACTGGCTGCATGTGTGGTAGAAGAGTCGCTGGGGAGGTTTTAACACACTCGTGTGCGCTGCTGTGAGGGGGCTGCTGCCGCCCGGCCTGCCAATCCGGCTTCTTTGTAGAGGCGGGACAAGCACCTTCTGCTTGGTTGTAATGGGAGATGTTCGCCTTCTGATGAGTGCTCTGTCTGAAGGACAAAATGTAACGCCGCTCTCTGTTCCATGTGTTTCAGTTGAAATTGCAACACTGACAAGAGAGAACGGAAAGACAGTGATAAGGGTTCTGAAGCAAAAGGAGGTGGAACAGTTGATAAAACAACATGAGGAGGAGGAAGCAAAAGCTGAACGTGAAAAGAAGGAAAAAGAACAAAAAGAGAAGGATAAATAGAATATGAAATCATGTGTTCTGTAGATAATATAGGCCCTGCTTCAGTAAAAGTTAATCTGGATCTGTGTTTTGTAGAAGCCTACAAATATGCCATGGAGGCCCCAGAATTACTTTTGATGAACCAGGTCCTTAATCATCGTTCAGATAATTAGTTTATTGCTCCTTACATTGATCGATAATTGCTTTAATTCTTGAACACTCTATTTCTTGCATCTTCTATTTTTTATTATGGAATAAACTTTAAGAAGAATAGTGATGAGTGTCTTTATTTCCTCAGTACTGTCTGAATATGCACTATCTTGAGAGATTTAATCGCTTTACATCAGTAAAACAAGGTATATGCTAGTTGGTAAAGAATATGGTGTTAGAATTGTTAGAATTTTCTGTACATGTGTGGATTTTCCTTTTAGAGTAGTGAAAAGGGCTCCTAAGTTTGCAAAATCCTTTCACAAATAAGGAATTAAAGTGTGCTGGCATGCCAAGTTTTAATTTTGGCCTATTTGTTCTGTAACAGGCTATGTCAAGCTGATGGACTTGCAAGAAGTAGTGTTTTAAACATGGCCTGTAGCAAACGTGTCCAAGTTATCATAGCCTTTCATGAGTGCATGTATTTTTTAAGAAATTAATCATATAACACTAGCTATATTCACACGAACTAGAAAGATGGTTTACAAAAGCCATGTGAAAATGTTAAGCTGCCTTGTCAAAATGCAAATAGGTAAATAAAATAGTGCATGATTTTAGGCCACGTTGACTATTTTACATTTAATCGTGAAAGGAGATTGAGATGTATATTTAGTTTTTAGTGTTGCTGATACTTCCCTAGAAAATTCAGTTCCCTTCTCTGACAGACAACAGTCTAGAAACCTAGCCAGTTAACCACTCCAGAAATTGTAATATTTGTGCATGGATTAGAAGTTAAGGTAATTTTTCTTCATATAGTCCCTATACTTGAATGAAAAATAACATGATTTTCAGATTAACAGAATTCTCTCCTAGTTCTGGAAAAAAAAAATCTGGAGTTAATAAGGGAGATGAAAACAAGTTACTGAAAATTATTTTGCACCCTTTCAGTTATCCAAAGCAAATCAAAAAGCTTGCTTGAGTGACACACTTAAATTTGAGCGGCCTCACCCGCTGATTTTCAAACTGTGACACTGGTGATCCATACCCTTTGTGCGGACCCTGGATTTTACACTGTTGTAGCTTTCTAGGTTTTTACCCGAAAGGATGTCTGGTGTTTACAGGACTTCATGTGACCCCTGGAAGAAACAGTGACCATTGGAAGAAACAGTGACTCCGTGCAGGTTTTACTATCTCAGACACGTTTGACTGATGAAACGTACTTTGTCAACATGGCCAGAAATCACCCTCAGTCTCAGCCCGTTTTTGGGCTCGTTGCTGCACGATTCACTGCTGAGAACAGAGGGAAGGGATCTGACTCGAGGTGTCTGTGCTGCAGCTCGCGCAGACCTACTGCGCTCACCTTGGCAGCCTCTGTGCAGGCAGCGGTGCGGGGCGGCGAGGGTTCTGTGCCGGCTGCAGGATCCGCCCGTTAATTTTCTGAGCCTCAGTGCAGGCCAACTGCTTTAGTCTTTTGTACTGAACGTAGTACTTTGTTAGTATTCACGTTTTCTAGCGAAGGCTGAGTTCTACTTCTGCCTTGTGCAACAGTACATCTTCCAAATAATAACGGAGGAATGATAACTTCGTGCAACAAGTCCTGAATGGGTGCAGAAGACATGCAATGGGTAAGATTTAACCTCCATTATAAAGGGTTGTATAAATACCTCAAACTCCATTTTTCTGTAGAAGATTCAGTGCTTGACCTTATTTTCTGATACCATGAATGCAATATATCAGAATCTTTTGCAGATTTCTAGATCGCTGATGATGATTATACGAGTACTTGGATTATGCCCTAAAAGCAGCAATGCCAAAATGGAGTTTTTTCTGACTTCTCAGAGGTCACTTGAAACAAAGTGTGATAGACTCCAGCAACGCTTTCTGTCTTCCAGGAAACCATTAGAGCATCTGAGTCTGGGTATGTCAATGTATATAAATCATGCAAGGCATTTGTTCAGTGTACTAGTAAAAGTATTACTAAATAGCTTAGGATATAGATTTATTAAAATATTTTTCTTAAATGCTTCTGTTTCTAACAAAAAGGGGATAACAAATATATTTGGATCTTTGTTTATAAAGAATTACCAGTAATGTTCCTTTGCAAGCAATACATTGTTTGCTGGTGAAGGAGAACTTTTTAGATCACAGAACTTTTTAGATCACAGATTCACATACAGATACTGTAATAATCAAGAGTCAGAATGACTTAAATTATTTTCTGATCTGTACTCCATTGTGTATTGAAGCATTGTGGTAAGTTGTGTAGTTACACTACATTTGAAAAGCTCTATTTATTTAAAGGTTTTGTTTACCCAAAGTAAACATATTGTCAAATCATTTACGACTATGATACTTGAACAATAATTACCAATTTAATTTAAAAACACCATCTCTGCTGAGTGCCATTAATAGCCGGTTGTGAGCTGAGCCTCAGTACTGCCTTGCAACAGGCAAGTAAATCCAGCTGGCACTGATATCCGAGATGTACCATAAAGTTCTGCTAAACTAAACTTAATTTCTGATTTTTGTCTGCATTTGAACCTAGGACAGTAATAAGCAGGTGCTGGAGACTAGAATCTTCCTGGGACATCCTTACACTAATGCAAGTTCCTTTACCTGTTTTTCCTAGAAATAGAGCAGCGTTTGACTGCATAGGCCTGTTGTGTTGATTCTGGCTTTGTGTGTTTTAAAAAAAAAGCAACGAAAAAAACAACAAAAAACTAACACCACTATCTGTGCCTTTTCTGGGAGTGGTTTGGGGATAAGTCATAAGAACAGAAAAGTGATTTTGGCGATACATTTGAGTCGCCTTTGCTAATCAAAATGACCTTCCTGTTCTTTGTATGGTGTTTTTGGTGTACGTAGTGTTTCCGTAGAATTTACAGTGTATTACCTGAGTAGTTAAAACATTTAGCTATTGCCATGGATTAAATGTTTTTAACACCAGAACTTCTTGTGGTGCTGTGGAAGGTGATAGATTTTTTCAAATTAGGTAAAAATATTTACTTGAAACTGCATAATACGATGTTAGTAAACCTAAAGGCTTGGATAGTTTATATCTCGCTTGAGTGCATGATAGAACACGTTAGGGTAAGTATTCACAAAGAGATTGTCCTAATAAACTGTAATGTGTTTTGTTATTCTAAGTAGTTTAAGAGATAACGAAACTACTGCTTCTCCAGTAATACCTGTGCTGTCTCTTGCATCTGTCAGTGTTTCTGAAAAAAGTTAGCTTGTTTTCTAGATGACTGTATTCTGTGCAAATAAAGTCAAAGTGACTTCTAAGACTGCTTCTTCTGTGCTGTACTCTGTTGTGTGCTGGAGGACAGAAGATTCCTTTAGGTATGCTTCCCTATTCATCCCAGTATCTAAATATTTTTACTTGTCATATTTATGATAAACAAAGGATTTTTTTATGCTAAATTTGATGGCTGCTGCTGGCATATTATGATTCCTAAGGTAATTATTTATTCTTTCTGTTTATAATCTTAAAATTAGGGATAGAACTTCTCTACTATGTTGGAAGAACACAATCTTACTGATTACAAGGCGTCTGAATTAATAGTTTTAGAGGCCACAGAACTGTGTATGATACATAGATAATGCAGGTGTCTTGTATACACTTGGCCAGGTCCGAGAAGTAAATGCACTCAGGTACTTCATACATGAGATAAATGATGTAACTAGATGAGATTTTAGACCTACTTAAATGTCTTTCGTTTTCTTTAAAGAATGTTTTCCATTGCAGTTTCTCTGTAGTAAAATGTCATCCTCGTTTTCAAGTTTTAATTGCAGATATTTCTATTCCAGTATGAAAATGGTTCAGATAACTTGATCTGAGAGTACCCTTCACTGGTTATATAACTCTTGGCTTTAATCTGGAGAAAATGCAGCTTCACAGAAAATTTTTAGAATACTTCTGATTTTGCAAAGAGAGCTGACCAGCTTGCTATTTTTATCTGTGGTCAATTTGGCATTTGGCTTTCCAGCTAAAGTATTCTTCAGTGCACAGTGAAAGCTGCCATCAGCCAATTTACTGGAGTTTCTCAGAACATACTTTCGATGGTACCTTCAGATGTCAGCTCCTGCTGAGAAGAACCCTTTAAAAGATTACAGACATTACTCATATAATCGTTTAGACTCTTGCTTAATGATAAATATTAAACATGCTGTTGATAGTATTAATATTTTGCTCCAATTTCAAAGCAGCAGGAAAAATGGCTGTTTTTTTGTAACTACTATTATCTAAAACAGTAATAGTACAACAAAATCAGTGTGTGCCAGATGACGCTACATAAAATATTTAGCAAATGTTGGCCATGTAACCTAGACAGTTTAATCCTTTTCTATCTTGCAGCATCTGTTTTGCCTCGCTAGGACCCAGCTGCAAACAAATTCATAGTTATGTAATAAAACCAGTTTGCTGTCCTGCACATTCAAGTGGCAGCTCTGTTTTAACACTGTTATCTAGGCATTACATCTCTAAAATGAATTTACTGCAATGCACATGTGCTGCTAACAGAAATACAGATTTTTTGTGATAACCTTACATTAGGAACACCAGGTGCAATGTAGCAGTAGTTGTCACAGACTACAGATTAGAAATTTCAGTAAAAACATTGCCTGGTAATTTCTGGAGCACTCAGAAAACATCAGAACCTCCAGTGTATCACAGAAGAGTAAAATAGGAGGGGTTTGTGCCATGCTTTGGGCTAAAATATTTATTTATTCTATAATCATGGGTTGACCACGGCATACACAGCGAGCATTCCATAATAAAAGTCACGCTGCATCCTTGAGCATGCATATTTTGATTGTGGAGCACATGCAGTATATAAATGGATTCTCGATATATAAAATGACCATATTTACTGCAGAGCCTCCAAATCGATCCAACGTGTCACCAGAAGTGTGCTGGAAGAAACTACTGTGTAAGCAGCCTTTTTTCAGAAGGCTTGCACGGCGTGCATTGTCTTGTACAGGCATGTACAATCTAAATATGGCTGCAGGATAAGATAATACAGGAACCCACCAGTTAAAAAATTAAGAAAGGGGTGGAAATGCTTAAGCACTCTGGTTTGGTCATCAAAAAGATTATTTGCACAAAGAGATGCACTATTTTCCTGTAAAATGAACACGGTGTGAAACAATTTTGATAACCGACAATGTGCTTAATGAAATGACTGTGGCTAATGCTCGTGTTAGGAAGGTACTAAAATCGTTGCTAAAATTGAGCTGAATCTGGCCTGTCTTCCTGAGGAACCTGGTACCCAGTGTTTTCCACACAGCAGCTGATTAACACCGCGTAGTCATTTAGCCCTTCTTTCCAGACCTCTTCTCTGTAAAAATCCCAGTA